ATATATATGTGTATGTTTGTGTGTGTGTCTTTGATTAGACAAGACACGTGGTGTGAGTCGCATGGAAGGCCGTGAAATCATCGAAAGCCTTCTGCAACTTCTTGGGGCTCCCACGGAGGTGCTTGGGCACATCATCCCCAGCCAAAGGCCCACTGGCCGTCTTGTGATCTCGGTTGAAGTCACGATCGTGCTTCTCCAGGAGGCTTCGGAACTCCTCAGCAACCACCTGGGATGCTTCGAATTTCGTCTTCAGCGCCTGGCCACAACAGCAACACTAGCAGCTGCAAGCCACACCTCACCTGAAACCCCAAACCCCATTGCACCTGGAGGACGATGAGGGAACCGCCCACCGGCACAGTCACCTGGTAATCGTAGTCCGACCGGGCTTCGGTCGTGTGCACTTTTGAAAGATCCGCCATGGCAGCGGCAAAGTCCGGAAATCCGGTGATTGTCATCTGCTTGGACTTTGCCTTGCTGAACAAGGAGTGCAGAATCACATCCTGGAGTCAATATCACACAGAATGCAAGAACAGAGTGAATGGACCGTCACTCGGAGTATGTCCCAAGTTTCCTTGCAGAACTTGTGCTCCACATCGGTGTGTGCAACCATGGCACAAACAACTTTGCAATTTTCCAACTGCAATTGCAGGGCTGCAAGCGCGATCCAGCCGTCGTGCGCAAACAAATCCACGATCACCGAATGCATTCTGTTCACATCCAATGCAGTCAACACCTTCTTGATGAGCCCGGTCCCGGCAAGGTGTTGTCTCATCTCCTGCCAAACAAAGCAACCGATAAGATCCGCAGCAGCAGCAGCAGCAAACGATTGACATGAACTTGCATGAAACAGCCAGCTTTCTGAATACTAAGAGTGTCCTGGGCCCAGGAAAGTCTATCCGTATCGGCACAAACCTTGCGACCGACCTCAACTTTCACCATCTCCTCAGTCACGCACTCAGACACATACGAAATCCTCACAAAGCAATGCAAGATCAAGCCAACACCCCAGCACAGGCATTAACATTGTGAAGCACACCAAGCCACCGCCCGAGGCAGCATCGGAATCTTGTCGATCACAAGCCTTTTGAAAATCGTTTTCCGGGTCAAGGTGCTGGCCTGTGTGCTGGTGACCAACCAGCATTCATGATAAGCATTTCGTTGGCCATAGATTGAAGACTCCTCAAAGATCATGTTGAGGGTGCGCACCTCAAGGCCTCGGGCTGGGTCTTGCAGGGTCACGAGGAGGTTGTATTTGAAATCACGCAGCGCCGACAATGCTTCCACCTTCACCTTAAGGTTGCTGTCACCATCATTGTCGTTGCCGTCGTCTTCGGCCACATTTTTGTTCATTTCGCTCTCCTCCTCATCCTGCTGCTCTTTCCTTTGTTTGTTCGGCACGACAGCAATAGCACGAAACTTGCAGCAAGATACTGTGTTAGTCCTGAACTTAATGTTCCCCTTCTACTTAATAGACCTGCTTGGAGCAATCACTCATTCGATCCTCCGCCCATGCTTATTTCATTCCTGCACGGGTCGGGGGGGAAGGGTGGTGCTGATTTATTCATGAAAAGCCCACTTTGTTTGCACTCGACAGGATCTAGTAACCTTCAAAATCACGCAAACTAGACACGTCTTCGCTCGTCCATCACACGCCCGGTTCGGCATGAAGACGAGACCCACAAACGAGTTCGGCATATTCGCAGCACCACTCTGCAGGGACTGCACCAGGAAGCTCACCTTCGGTGCACTGACGACACCTTGGGTAACCAGGTTTGCCACATACACCACCAACTCGCTGTTGCCGTTCCGCACACCACCTTGCAAGCCTGTCAAGATGGTAGAGAGCCAAGGCTTCAGCTGCGGATCCAAAGGTTTCACCTCGTAGTCCCTCTCAACTCCCGTCCGCTTCTTGGGGGCCACATTGAAGATCGGGAAATTCTCGTCGCCGTAGGTTTTGATCTGCATCCACCCGGTCTTATGGAGCGTCTGCAGGGCACACATGGATGGAACTGAGACTGACATCTGGCCAAAGCAAGAAACTTCAAGCTAGCAGTCCTCCAGCAGCGACACAGCCGCTTGCCGCTTGCGCTCGGCATCGCCGGACGTTCGAAGCATCTCCCTTAAAAGGACGATTCTTCATGCTATCCAAAAGCAACAGGAACCAAACACAGCATGACAGAATGTACCACGCACATGTGTTTTGGTCCGAGAAACGAGCGGAAGTGTGCTTGATCATTCATCAGCTGCCTCTGAAACAAATCGAAGGCACTTCGCTCCGCCTGCTTCAAAGCATTCTGGATCTTCGACTGACCTTGCTCCAGGTACATTTGCTGAGCATCGCCCTGGGCTTCCAGGACGAAGCCCAGCCTCTCCGGGTCGAACTTCGAATCTTTCGCCTTGACGACTCCTCGCATCTCGGGGTCAAAAGCCCTTGGATGGCCCAGCAAGGTGATTACAAAAGACACAGACACACACACACACACTGAGACGCACATGAAGCAACTCCGGGCACAACTTTGACATGATCAGACACATCTGGCGGTTGGGGTCTTGTCTGAGGATGGGAAGCTGAAACCCAAGTGCTCCAGTCTAGGCTAAGACTCTTTGACCATGCTCTAGAGAAGACTAGATAACAGGTCAGCAAGAATTATAAGAGCATGTATATGATGTCATGATTCCACATCCATCCTACTGGAGGTCTCAGGGGTCTGAAATCGTTGTTCTTTGTTTCTGTGTTCTCTCTACCTCGGATACAGACATAAACCTTGAAGGTAAGTGTCAGGAAATGAATGTATTTCAACTTCCCCGGGGGCATCGATGTGTGACAGAGGTTGGTTCACAGGAACCCCCAGATTCTGTGCCTCAGGAGTAAAATGAATGTATTTTTCAGGTCTTGTTTTGATGTCCGAAAAATACAACCATTTGCGCAAATAGCTGTATTTGTGTATTTTGTTTGCACCATGAATGTATTTTTGGCTCTTGGGATTTAACTTCCGAAAATACATTCATGGCGTTGTGCTCTTGACAAAATACAACCATTTGCGCAAATGGTTGTATTTTCGGCGGCCTGATTTCCTATCCCAAAAATACATTCATTTACCCCCTTCTGCCCCGACACAGATCACGGGCTTACAACCATTTGCACAGATGATGGTACTATGGGTGCCTGGTGTCGAATCTCGGGAATACATTCATTTTCGTCTTCATGGCCTGCTATGTTTTGACAGTCCTCTCATTTCTCGGAACTGTGAGAATCGACTCATGCGTTGGTTTTCCTCCGTGGCTGCACTAAGTCCCTCAGGCATGAGGAGCCATTGTAGGGGGTTGCAAAGGAATCGCTCAATTAATCCAAGGATTCTGAAGCCTTGAGCATAAAACGACTAATTATGTATCACTGCGGATTCTTCTGATCCTGAGCTTTGCTCGGAACCCGCAGAACTGGATGCTTCGGATGCATTCGTCATCGTTTCAGCCGGTCCCTCCCATCTCACATCCTCCTTAGCCATCCATTCACACTCGTAGTCGGCAGCAAGCTCTGCCAGAGTGTCGGCCAAGTCCCGTGCGGACACCCATTCCTCAGAAATCATTCGGAATCAGCTGAGAGCCTTCACGGTGACTAGAATATAATGAAGCAAACAGGAAAAATTCACATGGACGAACACCAAGTCAAGGCTCTGAATCTCTGAGATAATCGATCTTTCGCCAGATGTTTCGGATCTTGAGGAGCCGCTCTTTGACGAAAAGCTTCGCGGTGCGTTTCGTAAACTTTAACGGCATGGCGCACAAGTCTGGCTGACAGACAAGCGGACAGACACACAGAGACACGAAACATAAACCTAAGGGACACTGGCCTATCCTTCACTTGAGAACCCAACAGGATAATGGCGATCGGAAGTCAGTCGCATCTGCAATAAGAACTGTAACACTAAAAGACTTTTGGCGCGATCGAGGATCCCCATCTTCCAGGCTTCCACAATCTTCTCATAGCCTTGTCCGGAACCAAGCATCTTCTTCAAGTGCGGTGAGATCCACTGCCAGAGGCAGCACATCTCCATCAGCTCTCGGAGCATCTCATTGCTCATTTGAGCATTTTTCTGCAGGGAAGCCCGACAAAAAAAAACAAAACAAAACAGGTAAATGAGCTAGAGTCAACAGACATGAAATGTTAAATGCATTTACCCACCACCTCACCTGGGTCTTCACAGAAGACCCCGGAGGAGCCTTGCTCCGATGCGAGGATACCACCCGCTCCAGCCACGCGATGGTGCAGGCATCCGCGACTTCCTGAGATCAAGTTGGGCCAGAGGTCACTGTTTCCATGTTTGAATCAGAATGAGAAGACTGTCAGAATCCCCACAACATGGCACTAATCTCGTCACACTGTTTATAGGGACCAAGCATCCATGATTTCGGGCCACCTGCCAGCCTGGCCTTTCCCGAGGTTCGTGCCCGGCACATAAAAGTCACCCGTCAAATTCTCCAGAGTCAGCGCTGGCAGGTGCAAGACATGCACTGTTAGTGAGTTCCAGAGACAGAAAGAGAGGGATAGAGAGAGAGAGAGAGAGAGAGAGAGTGGAGACATGAGAGAAAGAGACTGCATGTGTGTGTGTGTGTTCTAGAAAGCCCTAGCCACAACATGTACACATACACACTTCTGCACTGCCTGCATTGAAGTGACGGTACTCACCATAGACCTGGGCCAAGATCTCCCGCATTTGCATCGGGCATCGTAGCACATTATAAATAATCTTGTGCGTCTCCTGCTTGACTTTGTGGTCCTCAGTGCCGGCAGAAGAGATAGAACACACAGCAGCATCTGTAAACTCAAGCAAGCCTAAAAGAAACGACCACTGTACAAACACACACACACAC